ATAGAAAGAAGTTATCTGATTTGAATGAGGTGATGATTCCACCATGGAGGAGCCTGTCAGAGCAAGCATTAAAATTCTCCATGCCAAGCCAGGCACAGTGCCACACACCTTTAATCCCAGTACTCGGGAGGCAGAGGCAGGTGGATCTCCATGAGTTCAAGACCAGCCTGATCTACACAGTGAACTCCAGGCCAGGCCAAACAAGGCTGTATATCTCAACAAACAAACAACAAATTCTGCATCCCACTTACACATGATAGTAAAGGAAGAAATTGGCTTTCCCTGAGCACCAAGTTACTCTTAAATCAGCAAATACTTGAGGAGTTACAAATACAAAGGAAACAATTTATGCCCTCTTCAGGTCATTAACACGTGAAGTTTATTATGTTACAAGTGTATTTTATGGGGCGTGGGATGGTGTTAATATGGGAAATTTGGTGTAGCTGTGTTTTAAATGTTCTCATGATAATAAATTCATAACTTTTGGAAATGATTTTCTTAAAAATTTTTAAACTCATATGCCTCCAGGTGAACTTTAATTTCTTATCCCTAAAACATAGAGACAGAGCTGCTAAAAATGTGTGTACTTTAAGAATAAAGCCACAGTGATTTTCTTACCAGCTTTCTGGGCCCTGAGAATGTCTGGTGTGCCTTTACCCATTTTCTCCTGTGAGCTGTGCCTGTGTGTGTAAAAATGACTAATAAGCAGCCAATGAACAGGCGCTTCTGACCAGACACCCATCTTGTGAAATAACTCTTGTAAAAACTCAGTCACTGTTCCTTTCCATAGAAGTGACTGTTTGGTACTGGGCAAGACTTGTGACCCACGTACATGTGCAGGTTCAAGACAGAAACAGTCTCCACCTTAATACAAGACCACAGCATTTTCTAGATCTGGACAAGTCTTTGTAACTTGTCTTGTAAAGTCTTGTAAAGCTTCCTTCTTAAGATAACCATATTCATGTTAAAGTCTTGAAGATGTTTATTTAAATTAATTTCATATTCCTTTACTGGAAGCTTCCAGGGGAAGAAGAAAATCATTGAGCATGTGTTTTGTTTTATGATTTGGTCAGCAAACATTACATATATTTTTTATCTGAATGTATATGTAATATTTATCTGAAAATTTTATCCTTACCATAACATCATACCACTTTATATAAAACTTTAAATGGCATTTTTGGGTTGGGGAGATGGCTCAGCAGTTCAGAGCACTTACTGTTCTTCCAGAGGACCTAGGCTCAGTTCCCAACACTCACATGGCAGATCACAGCTGTCTGTATCTCTGTATCTCCAGTTCCAAGGGACATGACAACCATGGCAAAATACCAATGCACATAAAATAAAAATAAGTAAAATTTTAAAAATGGCATTCTTAATCCTAGAGGTACCTTCCTATAATACCACAACGTGGGAGGTGAAGACAGAAGGATTAGACAGTCAAGGCTAGCTCCAGGCTATGCAGTTTATTTGAAGATAAGCCTGGGTTACACAAAATCTTGTCTCAAAAGTAACAACTGAACAAACAAACACATAAATAAAAACAGGACTTTTGAAACATCAAAAGGCAAAGATACAGTTGAGTCCATTTTAACACGTCAAGAAGCTTCTTAGCGTGTAGTGACTCCCTTTCCAGCTCATAGCATCCCACAGTTTCTGCACACCTCCTTCTTTGCTAATGAAAAGTGATTTTGAGACAGAGTCTTGCTGTGTAACCCAGACTGCCCCAGACTTGGGACCTCTGCCTGAGCCTGGAGTGCTCGGGTTACAGATGTCACCACCACTCCCTATGAAGAACAAGTTCTCCTTCCAATCAGCTCAATAGACTTGTGTTGTGCTTGCTCTTTGTAAGGAAAGAACTTCCTATTTTCCACTCCTTACAACTAAATTTTTGAATTCAAATTCATAAAATGATAGGAAAAAAGCCTAAAATATAAAGATTTGGTTTTGTTATTTTTTTTCCAAGAAGCAAAGTCCTCCCCCCCCCCACCAATCTAACACATGACTTAGAGAGAGATTTAGTAGCTTGGTTCTCATTAACACAGTAACAGATTATTGTGTAAATCTTGGCAGGCCTGGAGACCTCCAAACAGTTTTTGTGATATAAGAAACTAGCATTTAACCATTGGTGCTGCCGTCCTAATTTCATTAGCGTGGCTTCTTTACACACTTTCTCCAGTGACGCAAATGCAGACCCATGGCTGCCTCTGCTCTCCTTCGTTGCTTCTGTTGGATGGGCCGCCCTCGTTCCTTGCCAAAGAAAACCCCACAGCTCTGTAGACTTCATTTCGAGGTCTCCTGTGTCCTCCTTCGACCACCAGTAGCTTTGTCTCTGTGTGATTAGATGTTGGACGCTCCTTTCTGATGGCTGACAAATGACGTCCTCCCAAGAGTGTACCAAACAACACATGCCCGAGCCACATCACCGCACACACAGCAGCAGGTCCGGTGGGATGTGTGCTTGGAACACAGACCCAATTACTGGTTTCATTTTTTTTTTATCAAACTTTATGAGATTTACATCACGGTGTGATTAGAAGCCTCTTTAGGGGCGAACGGTGGAAAAATGGGTGTATTTTGTATATTATAGCAGTATACAAAAGTGACAAGAAGCTCACTGAACTTGGAGTATTTCTGTTTTCTCCTTCTGTGGCTGGTTCCAGCAAAGTCAGGTTAAAGTATGGAGCTTCAGGCTCAGATGTCTATTATTCTTTCTCTATAATCAGTTCCATAAATCCGTTAAAATGGGGAGTTTATGTGGTTCTACCAACACCCCTGCTTCTCGCCTGTGCATTTCCAGCCGCCTCCCTCCCCTTTGCCCCATGGACAGTTTTGCGCTATATTTTAGGAGATGCTGATGCTGCAGGTTTTTGCTTTTTGTTTTGTTTCAGTTTTTTTTTTTAACCTCATTTTTCTTCCCTTGTGTTTCCTGGGTTTTGTGATTTATTTCTGTGACCTTTCCAGTGGTGTCCTGTGGCTTACACTAGCATATGATAAATAAATCACATAGCCGTGCGTGTAGAGAGACCTTCTGACATCAGGTCGTACTTAATAGAAACTGAGAGCTTGTTTGGTTCTTTTTGTTGCTGCTTTTAGGAAATATGGCATGAACTCTATTATTTTCCCCTCTTATCCTTAGAACGTCGGTGCTTTTGGAAAATGAAATGCTCTAAACCTTTTCATTCTGTTATCCTGAGTAGTTAAATCACCACCCCGCATCTCCCAGCTCCTGCTCATGTCCTCCGTAATATTTTTAATGCACTGATACCAGTTAGCGTTGCCAGTGTGTGCATGCCATAGGGGCAGCCACTGGAGCACAGCAGCCTACCACGGGCTACATCCCTGAAGAAAACTGACTCTCCCTCCCACGGCTGCCAGTGACTGCCAGAAGCTGTTCTGTTAGCAGCGGTGCTTGCTTAGCTCCCCCAGCCCGCCCCGTCCATGCTGTCCTTTGGACTGGATCGATCTTGTATGGCTTTTGTGCAGGCAGCCAGGGGAACTGAGAGCTTGTCTGTGCGGTGTTTGTCTCATCTAGGAAACACTGTTCTGAAGCAGCACCCCTGGCCTCTTGCAGTCTCTCTCTGCCCTGTCTTCCATGGCGGTCCCTGGCCATGTGCCAGCAGGTGTGATGTAGCAGTCCCGTTTGCAGCCAAGCAGGCCACGGGCTCTTCGGCTCTGTCCTTGGGGCAGCTGTGGTTGTGTGGAGCAGCATTCACCGCAAAAAGACGTTTCTCTGACAAGGGTGGTCACTTAGACTGATCCCTTGTGTAAAGTTAAGTAGTAGATTTGGGTTTGAACTCTATTTTGCTCAAATCTTAGTTTTAGAAAACACACTTCAACAGTAGGGCTTGTCTTAACGCCTTGCTTACCCGCTCCAGGTGCCTCTGGAAGAACTGCAAGCACCCTTAACCACGGAGCCATATTCAACCCAAACTAGTTTTTAATGAAACTCAAGCAATTTTTAAATTCAAGCATTTGAATGTACTGCAACCCAAATTATGCTGTTTTGACATTTATATCCCAAGGAACAACCATGACTAACATTTGTTTCCCATAACCAGACCATTGTTTCTGCAAGAGCTTGAAGAGGCTCTGCTGGCACTAGTGTTGGTACGGCAGAGGAGTTTCTGGTAGCTTGCTGTGCGGCTTGCAGTGTGCACGGGGCCAGGTCCTCGTGCTGTGTCGCGAACCAAGGCTTGAGGACAGCCGTCGGCGAGTGCTGACAGAGACACCTCAGATTCGCCGTGCATTTTAGCTTGAATTAATTTGGGAGTGTGCTGCTTTCGGAGGCCGTTTACTGCTGCCACGGGTCTTGACACGTACACACTCAGTAATATGGAGTTGTGGAGTGTGATTTCTCATCAAATGAATTCTTTTTCAAATGCATTTGTATTCATTTCTGATGTATCCTTTCCTTACTGTTTTGATCTTATTAACCTGAATGCAGGTATTCGTATATCCTTAGTGCTGTTGAGCTTACCACCTGTGCTGTCCCTACTCCGTGTGTACAGTGGTGTGGGAAAATGTATAATACAATGTATTACATGGATTCTGCATTCCAAAAGCGTCTAAATGAAATCCGGATGTTTGCTTATTACATGAGTATTTACATTGGTGTGTTCTATGTTTTGGAAAGCTCTGAGACCTTGGTTTTTGTTTGAAAAGCATAGCCAGCTACTCCTCCTATCAGGTTAGCCAGGCGTCCTGTCGTCCAAGCAGCTGATGCTTGCTTTCTTTGGATGAGAACGTAACCTCCTCACCCTGCACTGCAGAAGTGGCGATGAGATGGTTCACGTGACTTGGTTTGGGTTTGGTTCTGCAGGTCGCTGTGACTGTGCCCAGAGGTCTTGGAGATGCTTCGCACATGCAGCAGCAGAAGCAAAGGGGGTGGGGGGCGTGCTTTAAATAACGAGGAACCTCGGTGTATTCTTTCAGGTCGTTCATGGGAATGACGAAGAAGGCTTTCTCATAACTGAATTTATCTTTTGACTTTTGCATAGGGGGTTCCGGTGATGGCAATCAGAAACAAAATGATATCCGAAGGGCTGGATCCAGACCTGCTGGAGTAAGTAGTATTTTTAATAAAGTCCTATTGACAAGGTACTAAGTCTGTCAAGTACAACAACAAAAAAAAATGTTTCAAACTCTTGCTACTGTTTCCAACACGGTGTTTATAGTTGAGAATATCATCCTCCTAAATGATGCCCCTGCTATGTTAAAAAGAAAGGAAGGAAAAGAAAAGGAAATATCCTAGGCTACTAAGTCAGCCCTTGCATACTTCAGGAGAGGAAATTCAATAATGAAACTGGTCAGAGTTTGGTAGATGGACATTTGGGTTTTCGCTGTGTTTTTCCATGTTGACATTTCCTTTGGGGATGCTGTGACAAGGTATTATCCACTTCTTCTCACTTAAGGTCATAATATACAAGAAGTGTATCCTGCAACCTAGATGACACAGGGCCGAGAAGTGACTCAGATAAGCAGTGCACTAATGCTTATTATGAAACAGATGCCAGTCTGAATGTGTATTATAAAATATTTTTTAGATATGCCAAGAAATCACGGCTCAGAACTTTGATGATAATTCATTTCATCCAAGCCAGACTGACCATGTGATTCATCTCAATAAATTCTATATCTTAATGGGCTCCTCACATGTCTGCTCTATATGTTTCCATACACTTGTACATAACCTGTCCAGCTGGAGCGTTCCTTCACCCTGTGTTCCCGGGCATTCAGGCTGTGCTAGCATAAGCTTTGGAATTTTTCTTGGCTCCAGCACTTCAGGAAAAGGTGTGCATTTTGGAAATGGAATATCATAAAAGTCATCTTCTCATATTTTATCTTCAAAAATGTGAAATTCAAGAATGCCTATAAAGCTGCCAACAATGGATTTTCCAACATGTATGTTCATTTGGTGTGTTCCCAAGTGGCCAAGGATTGGCTCCAATAGTATGGCTTGGTGAACTGAGCACAGCATATCTGGGCATGTTTAATATGTGTTCTGGAAATTGTTTCTGACGTTTTAAAAGTAGATGAATTATGGCATGTATTTTAATAAGAAGGGAACATTTGGATTTAATCCCTTTGGGTACTTGATTGTATAAGCACATTTACCACCAATTGGGATGGTTTTGGCTTCTGGAAATACACAATAGGCCATAAATAGTAACAAATGATCTTTAAAACGGTGATGTTTCACCCTGGAGAGACAGGAAAGCCCATGTCCTGTAAGCTTCCCCACCGGCTGCATCTCCAGTCCTCGGCCACTGATGGCTTCATTCATCTCCTTCTTAGATGAAACCTAGTACACAGTCCTTTCATTCACCCTGTCCACGCGAGCACTTGAAGATCACCTTTGCTTCCTCCCTCTCCCCTCCCTGTGATGTCAGTCGCTATGGTTTTGGTGTTGCCTCCCTCCTTCCACATGCCTGCGCACCTCTTGCCGTTCCTGTGACCCTTCATTTCTCACCTGATTATCGCAGGAGGCTGATTGGATTTTGTGTTCTCCTTCAAGCCCTCCCAATAAAGCCACATGTATTTGTTCATAACTTCATTCTTGCCTTCGACGTGTAGTGTCTGACTGCTGTGTGCTGATGCTTCCCATGGTGTCCTGGGTGCTTCTCAAGCTCTCGCTGCCTCTGTCCATGTTCATTGTGTGTAGCGCTTTTCGGAATATATTTGACATTTTTAACTCTCCTTGGGACCCCCTTCCCCTGTCTTATTGGCCTAGGTAACTCCTTATCCTTCAAGAGTGTTCGGAATTGTCCACCTTAAGGGATCTGTAAGTGATTATCCAGCGGAGACGCCCACACACATCCAGCGTGCTCTTATATCACCCTTAGCAATGGCACGGTGTATGTCATTGTCTGTAAATGCTGAGGAACATTCAGTTGTAGGGTAGGATTCTAGAAACAGCATGGCCTTACCGAAAGGCTGCTTCCCAACCACAGCCTAGAGGTGACCCATTGCCTCATAGGCACGGCCACCAGCCACCAGGGGCGCTGGTTGGAGTGGACTGACTCACTCACGCAGTCACCGCTACACCGTCTCCATTAGCTTATTGTGACGTAGCAGCCACCTTGTTCACAGAGGAAGTCTGGGGCTGTGGGATCGGAGTTACACAAGGTAGGGACCTTCACTTGGGGAGAGAAGTTTGACGTGGCGTGTGGCGTTCAAGAAGGAAATGTACCATCCAAGGGCAACGTAGTTGTATTTAGAAACTTAGGTACAAAATAAGCCTCGTCCAAGAACTTTGAGCAGAGAGCGTCCCGATTCTCTTTTCTCTGAAAGTCTAAACAACACTCTCTGTTTTATTAGCTCCAGGTAGGAAGACTAACTCGTCTGACTGTTGGAAGGGCTGCTCTAGATCTGTCTGTCTGGGCAGAGAGCAGAACTGAAGTTGAGGGAGAAACAAACCGGTCACTGAGCATGTTGTCGGACTGGCTGCTGTCCATCCAGAGCTGGGGGCAGAAAGGAAAAGTTCGCATGAGGAAGCCTGGCAATTTTACTGCAAAATTATGCCCATCCTTGAATTTGAGATGTCTACAAAACTGATGAAAATGTTTGATAATTACCGAACAAGTATTTGTTTGATGCTTCTAATTGTTTTAATTACTTTTTTTTTAAAATCCCTGGCTTCTCAAGATTAGTTTTGATGCTACTAACATAAAAAGACATGGGAATGTCACTGTATTCCTTAGTTTAAGGTGAAATTGAAACTTCATTAACCTCTATTCAGAGATTAATCTGCTTTAATGTTGTCCCCAGAAATACAGAATGGGTAAATCATACTTTTAAAACTTTTGAATCAGTGCCTAGATTTCCTTACCAAGAAACAGAAATTTCACCCCTTCGTGTCTCAGAACTAATGTCAGTATTACTTAGTAATGACTACATCTGTTTATCTAGGATGGCCCACAGATTGACCTTTGGTCCCGTGCATCTCAGGAGCAAGTTCATGGTGAGGGAGGCTCAGGCTACCTTAGACTAGAGACAGTCAGCTGGAGGCAGCCAGGGTGACAGTCCACCCTGCCACTTTCTCTCTCTCGAACCATGGATTGATCTGCAAAATGGAAACTGAATGGCCCAGCTCCTCAGCAGTGTTACAGGTGCTCAGTAGAGCTCTGGACAAGCAGTGAGCGTTTAATGAATGCTGGCTGTGATTGGTGAATGTTCCAAGCCATGGCTTTACCAAGCTTTGGGGTCACGTGGCTTGGTACCTTTTTCAGCAAGGCAGTCACATCTTGCTTGCTCTGTGTCTGGGTGACAACTGCAGATTGAATCTTTCCTCTTCCCAGAATTCTCGTTGCCTCACCTCTATTTCTTGCCTGGTCACCCTGTCTATACTTCCTGCCTGGTTACAGACCAATCAGTGTTTATTTAAAATATAAGTGACAGGGTACAAACCATTGTCCCACAGCACCCCCCCCCCCTCTTTTTAACACAGGAACTCTGAATCTAATATCTTTTGTTTAGCTTTTCTCCTAATCATTAACCATAACAACTTGTAACCAACATTCTAAACAAAGGAGAATATCCATAGTCCAGTTTTTGGAATGTGGGCATTGTTTTCCAGGCTACTTATTGATAATTTTATGGGGACCTAAAGAAAATTTAGAATTATGATCAAGTCCTGACTGGATTATCCTGTGAGACTTGATCATCTCAGGCAACAGTTTTTGAACTGTTCTGGATGTAGAACTCAGACATCTGGGCCATTCCTCCTAGCGGAGATTTCTCACGGGGTCTTCCTTGTCAATCCTGATTTTTCTTAACTCAGAATGAATCCACAGTCCCTCATTTCCTGTGGAAACAAAAGCAAAACCTCTTCTCCAACGTAACATATCTCTTGACTTAAATTTTAAAGTCAAAGCATTTTCAAAATATATATATTGAATTAATCTAGCAGCATTTATAATCAAATGTCTTTTAGCAGCTTTTGCTCCTTTCTCCGTCATCAAACAATTTAAAGACAACACAGTAACATACAGTATCCAGACTCTCTGTGTATTTTTCACCTTTATGTGGCTTTATTTTAACCTTTTTTTTTTTTTCACACAACAGAGCTTTATTCATCCTCAGCGACTTAAGAAAGGCAAACTCACTGGCGCTTCACTTGAGTATGCTGTCATCTTGGGCTTCTGCCCGTTCTCTTTCAATCCGTTTCAGCTCATCTAGTCTCTTCTTTTCCTCCGCGGCCACCCTCCTCTCCTCCTCTGCCCGGGGCTTTAGGTAACTATAGCGCTTGGCGCCGTAGGCCATGCCGAGGACCAGGGCTGAGTGTCGGCCGAGCTTGATGAGCAGAGAGACCTGAACTGGGGCACCATCTTGTCCGTGACCTTCGCGCCAGAAGCTTAACTCTATTTCTTTTATTTTTATTTTTAACTTTTGACTTTTTAAGACAGGGTTTCTCTGTGTATCTTTGGCTGTCCTGGAATTCACTCCGTGGACCAGGTTGTCCTTGAACTCACAGAGATCTGCCTGCCTCTCCCTCCCAAGTGTTGGGATTAAAGGTGTGTGCCACCACACCCAACTACTCTTTTTTTCTTTTTCTTTTAAGGACTTTATCCTTTTTTTTTAATCTCCCAAGCCTACATACATTCTTAAACACACAGTAAACCGTTTAGAGGTTTATTTCATCTTTGAATCTGTCTTTACTGTGTATCTCCCTTTTTGTGATCAAATGAGTCTTTAATTTGCTAAGCAATATGTTTAAGATTAAAGCCGTGGCTTTGACAGCTGGAACCAGCCCATTCCTTAGCTTTTTTCCGAGAGTCTAACCTCATGGCAGAGATACTGGACAAGTCTATGGGGTTTCAAAGTCCCTGCTACCACTGAAAATCATGAGGTCAGCTTTTTATCAACACCATTTATCTGTTTGGTGGCAGGGCCTCTTAAAAGAGCTTCAAAGTTTAGCAGCTAACGCTGAGTCAGGAAGCCTCTCTTCAATGAGATGTGCTTGCCTCTTAAGAGAACAAACCCAAGAAATTGCTGCTACCTAGAAGCCATGCTTAACGCTGTTATTTTGTCTCTAGAATTATTTCCTAAACTCCCTCAGGTTTTTGAGTGGATTTAGTCAGCCCCATGCTGGCACACCATTCTATTGACTGAGGTTTCTGTCCTGTCCAGTTCCCGCAGTTGTTAAGTCCCAAAGAAATCACACAGAGATCTACATTAATTATAAGCTGACTGGCCTAGTATCTCAGGCATCTTATTAACTCTTATAACTTCTATTAGTCCATAATTCCTGTCTGTGTTAGCCACATGACCAATCATTTATGTTTTTCCCCCACACCAACAGGTCCAGTTACACTATGTAAAAAATTGTTTGCATTTCTGTCTCCCCAATAATAAAGCAGCTGTGTTAGAGCCCAGGTGTCTCCACGTTGGCCCCCAGGTGTCCCCACGTTGGCCCCCAGGTGTCCCCACGTTGGCCCCCAGGTGTCTCCACGTTGGCCCCCAGAGGAGCCTAGTTTCTAGGAAACAGGTGTGCAGAGGCGGCACGCTGGGTGCGGAGTACCGCAGGGTCCTGTTAAACACGCAGACCTGGCAGGTTTATTAGCAACAGTACTGAACAATGAACCTGATTCACGGTTTGTAAGTTTGTCTTCGGTTGGGAAAATCTTTAAATCGCCCCCCGCCATTTTTGTTCCCAGGAAGCCAGATGCTCCGGTGCCCAATGGTGCGACTGAAAAAGCCATAGAAGAAAGTTCAGACAGTGACTCTTCTTTCAGCGACTGAGTTGAACTGTGGATGAGGATCACAAACATGTGTGGATGTTTACAGTCTGTGGGAGAGCCTGAACGCCGGCGCTTAGTGACAGCATCATCCCGTGGCCACGCACCTACCCCAGCCTTCTTCTGTTAAAAAAAATAAAGCATTTATAAGCTTCCAGTATTCTTTGTTAACCAAATAAAATGCTCTAATTAAAACCAGAACGACCTAAATTGCTATGAGTGCTACAAACACTAAGGTAATAAACATTCTAAGAGGAAGTTGGTTCGAGTTTATGGAACGAAAGTGGACTTGATGTCAGCATAAGAGAATGTGACTAATTATTCAGTTTAGTGTCCGTGTTAGTTTGAAAATTTTTGCACACATTTGTTTCCTGAGCTTTGTGAAGATACTTCCGGCAGACAGTAACAGTAGACAAAGGTTCTCTGTCCTTGTCTAAAACTCACAGACACCTATTATGGGATTCATTGATGGTATTTAATAGCACATATATCTTTTTATACCTTGGCCAATAATTGATATATTATCAAAGTCAGACGTTTTGTTGTATCTGTGACCTAATAGAAACGTTGGAGGTGATCACAGTGTGGTTCAGAGTGAGCAGTCATTGTTGCTATTGACTCCTTTATTGACTTGATGAAACATTAGATTTCTAAAGTTAGAATGATCTCTCGTCACCTTGCAAGTAAATCTTTATAACTAATCACTTAAACACAGAAGTTCCAAAACTTCTAAAATGCTCAGGTAGAAAAGCATTTGATTAATGGTGTTCTTAGTTTAGGTCCCCTGAAGGTAGAGCCCGAGCCAAGGTCTTGGGTCCGTGTAGGTCATTTGTGAAATTATCCCAGGAAGTGTAATTGAGAGACCAGGGAGCGAAGGGGGACAAAACCAGTGTGAAGAAGTATCATGCAGACTCCCCAAGAGCTGCAGGGCAGCCAATAGAGCCTTCCGAAGCCACCACCAGATAGAACCGAGGTCCCGAGGCAATTTCTAGAACCCATCGGGGAAAGAGTGACTTGTAAGGACAGTCGCTGCGCCTGCACTTCTGGGATGCGCTTTTCCAGGGGAAAACAAGCTTCCCAAGCCGTGAATACCTGGATAGGTGCTGCTGTGGGTGAATATGAGCTCAGAACTGTTTACTACAGGTGTTAGCGGAACAGAAGTAGAAGTGAGGGATGCAGTACACAGGGCAGATAAAGACGTTTGACTCGGTGCCCTGGACTGCCCAGAACTGCCCAGAACTACCTGAGTTCCGTGTTGTCTACTTGATCTCCAAGACTTCAAAGAGGATGGTCTCGGAAACCATGCTCTTGAAAGATCACCCAAGAAGATCGGTGAGACAAGCTCCTCTTGTCACAGCTGAACCCAAGACCCAAGCTGACAGTCGTTGGCTTTTTAGAAGAACGAATACCAACCACGGGGGATCCTGAAGAAACTAAAGCTAATTGAACTAGTGTACAATTGCCAAAATCCACAGAACTGCCCCAGCATAGCGGATCTCAATATAATCTGTAGATTAGTTAAAAATAATACATTAATATTGGTTTATTAATTTAACAAATGTATCACTAAAGCAAGATCTTAAAATATGGGAAGTTGTCATGAGGCGTAAGATGAATTTATAGGTCTGTGTATACTATCTACTTAAAACTCTATACATTTTAAATTATGCTAAAATAAAATCTATTGGTTAATAATACATTCAAGTAGCATTTATCCCACAAATACAAGAACAGATTCCACTTGAAAATCAGCTGATACTTTATCATTTTAACAAACCGAGCTGGGAGCTTCGTTCTGTGACAGGGCTTGCCTAGCATCCTGGTACCAAGCACAAATAAGCCAAACAATGAAATGCAAGGCTCAGTAGGCCCAGAAATATTGGTATTCAGCTTTGTATTGAAGATTCTGGCTGCCACAGTAAGGCAGGAGAAGGAAGAGATGTATAGACTGTAAAGAAGAAAAACTGCCTTTACTCCTAGATGATGTGATTAATCCTTTAGGATGTCCATTGTAATAAAAACAAAGCAAACAGCCCTATGGAAGCCCAGACAAGTTTAGCAGGATTGTAGACTACAACAATCAATACCATAAAGTCAACCAGGACCATCCCAGCACCTCTCTCGAGCCTTGGGAAAGGGTGGATAGCTTTAAGCCTAAGGGGTGGTTGGTGTGTGTGTGTGTATGGAGAGAGAGAGAGAGAGAGAGAGAGAGAGAGAGAGAGAACATAATATTTGAGAAGGCAAGAGAGCTATTAATATTTGACACAAGCCAGGTGGGGGCCAAAAGGACAAAATAACATGAATAGGTTTCCAAGGAAAATTGGAAGATCATTAAAAATAACTACTGTAAGTTGAAATGCTATAAATACATGTCCTTGATTATCTCCCCCAGGTCCATGGTTTAACCTGCTATGGGCTGATTCTTCCAAATCTCTGTCTCAAGTCTAGACTCCCACCCCCAAGCTCCATCTCATGTACAGTCCACTCCCCCAAACTTCTGATCCTAAACAGGTTCACCTGGATGTGTCCCACGCTACCGTCTCGCCAGCAAGAACCACGCAGGACACTAGGATCCTTCTGCAGAGAAGCTTTAATGCGTCTTGAGAGAGAGAGAGCATAAGCTAACATGGCGGAGACCCAGGACGAGGTGAACCCAGCCCTTATAAAGGAAACAGTCCTCGCTTCGGACGTGTCACTCTTGGATTGGTCCGCTGCCCAAAATCCCAGATGATGCCTCGGGAGTAGGCGGGGATGCAGTAGTGGAAAGTTACCAAACACGTGTGCATTACCTAATTCACCTGGCGGTGGAACCGGATGCGAGCGCCATCTTGTAATGGAGTATGTGGTTGCGGTCCTCTACATGGATGGATGTCCAAAGTACTCCCAAGTAAAATTCTCAGCTGGAAGTAGTACTTCTCCTAAAACTATTCTTTACTCTATTGAATCAATAATTTGCGCCCAATCAACAGAGCCTTAAATTCTTTTTCCTTCCAATCCACAGCCCCCCTTACACATACATGAGAAATCCTTTTAGCAATAATTTTAATTATAAATATTGATTATAAATAGTCAATTTTTCTGCTGCTTTGATAAAATACTCTTTTACAAAACCTAACTTATAAATGATCTATTTCAGTTAACAGTTCCTCATGACAGGCAGGCCCAGAAGCAGGAGCAGGAAACGGATCTCAACTGTGAACAAGTGGCAGGCACAGTAAGAGAACAAGAGTTGGGGGGAGACTAGAAACCCTCAAAGCCACCTCCCGGTGATGTGCTTCCTCCAGCAGAACCTCCCCAAACAGTGCTACCAACCAGGGATCAAGTGTTCAAATGCACGAGCCTCCGGGCCCACTACTACAGCAATGACTGGCAAAAGATGAATCCAGCTCTCGCTGGCAGGAGTAAAACTGGTACTGCCACCACGGAAATCATTCTGGGGGCTCTGCAAAAAAGTTAAAAACAGAAGAGTGATCAGAACCGGCTGTACCGCTCCTGAGTACATACTTTCCTAGTTTGCACCCTCTGACGCTGTGCTAAAACACTGACCAAACCAATTTGGGGAGGAACCAGTTTAATTTGAATGGAATGGAGCTGGAGAGATGGCTCAGCGGTTAAGAGCACTGCCTGCTCTTCCAGAGGTCCTGAGTTCAATTCCCAGCACCCACATGGTGGCTTACAACCATCTGTAATGAGATCTGGTGCCCTCTAGAGGAAAAGACCTGGTCAGTCATCCTTGTCAATTTAGACCATGGAGTCCAATATGGACAAGTTCAACAGAACCTCCACACTCGGGCTGCCAGCACTTGCTTCAGCATTACCAGGGCGTACATTCCATTCATTTTCAGGTTTAATTTAGCTTACAAGTTGAAGTAACAGGACAGCAATGAGGGAACTCAGGACAGGAACTCAAGCAGGAACCCAGAGACATGAACTGAAGCCAAACCACAGAACACAGCTTCTTCTGGCTTCCTTCCCCTTTATTGCTCAACCGCCTTTCTCACACAGCCCAGGCCTGCCCACCAAGGGCTGGCATCTCCCCACAGCAGGTTTGGGGATGTTCTATATGGTCACATGATTTTAATTGGTTTCGTCTTTTACTGGAGTGACTGTTGAGTTACTTGGGCCTAATTGCCTGGTTTTGAAACTTTCAAGTTTTGTGGTTGGAACCATCTCTTAGGTTAGAGATTATTTGGCATGACTAGTTCCTTCTCTTGAGGGCGCTGCTCATGTGTGAGCAAGGTTTTCTCTAGCCCATGGGAACATGCAGGATACCGCCCTGTGTGCACTAGGGATGCCCCAATGGCTCCTTTCATGATTTCTTTTCTAGCTTTGATAGTTTGTTCACACCCACGTGCTAACTACAATTTAGCTAAAGACCCAAGGACACTCTCTGTTGGTCTCTAGTTCCGATTCCTCTCTCTGGTTCTCTGGTCCCTTACTTCCACCACTTTGGTATTTTTATACTCTGAACTCTGCTCAACTCAGGGACATTGCCAAGCGGTCCTGACTTCCTCTTCCCTGTGTGGTCAGTGTCCTGAAAGAGTCACCATCCCTGAGTGTTTGTGGGGGATCACTGTCCTGGGCTGCCTGCTTTGCAGTGGCCAAAGCGCACCGCCTGAGAGATAGTTCACCTCTTAAAGAAGAGATGAGTTTTGTTCTTCTTACTCTTGTGGCAGCAAGCATTGGATGGATGGAACTAGAGTTACAGACAGTTACGAGTTGCCACATTGTTGCTGGGGATGGAAACCCCATCCTATGGAAGAGCAGCAGGCACACTTAACCGCTGAGCCATCCATCCCTCCAGCTCTCGGTGCTGCAGTTTTAATTAGACTTTTAGTGTAATTGCAGCCTTGGCCTTTTCAGTTAAGCTGGCACTTAGACTAGAGCTTTGTACGTTGTAGGTGTTCAGCAGTTATTGAATTAATGAGGCTCCATTCCCTCCCTTTTATCAATGAGTATTTCATACGCCGTGAACATTATCTATTCTCGGTCTCTCTTCCGAAATATGAACTCTTCTTTAATATTCATCATGCCATGGTCAATATATTCCCATAGCGTTTCTAAAATGTTTAGGGAAAGCACCAAGGATGAGCCCACAGGCAGATACAGACCCCCTATTGAGTAGTCTCTTGGCAGTTATGTGCTCACATCTCAAAAAGTCATCCAAACTGTCCTTAGAGGAAATGCTTCGTGTTGTA